TTTGGAGTCTTTTAATGAGGGTCAATAAAAAAAAAGGTTGACAAAAAGCAATAAAAGATATTATAAGAAAAAAAAAAAAAAAAAAAAAAAAAAAGGAGGAGGAGGAGGGAGGACAGGACAGCGTTAGCCTGCAACCTTTTTGCCTTGTTGCTCTTTCAGGTCAGGGATTTAGATCTTAATAAGGTTGCTCATTATTATCCACAGAGCATTTGTATGAAATCAAGGTGCACCATGATCTGACAACCGGGATTTCTGTTGTAAATTAGCTAAAAAAAAAAAAAGCTAATTAGTTTAATCTTTGAATATTGCAATTTTTCTCCTCATCGTCACTGTTTCACGAGGGAAAGGCAGCAATTCGCAGCATGCGTTGCTTATCTGCATCTTTTGATTGCATGCAGTGTTGATGATGAGGGCAGGGATTTAATGGGGAATTAAGGGTTCCGCAGAAAAACAACAACAAAACAACAGCTGCAGCATGTTGAGTTCTATATGCAGTTTTTGTTTGCTGTGAATGTGACCATATGGTTAAGGCAGTGTTCACACAAAGGCCACAGGAAACACCTCAGGATAATTACACAAGCATGTAAACACACAGCCTGAAAATGGTGCACACGCATTACATAAGTGGTAAAAAAAAAATTAAAAAATTGGAAAATAGGGTGTATTTAGAAGGACTTTATTACAAATAAACATCTCTCACTCATACTCTGTGGATCACACACACACACACACACAGGTTGTTATCATAACCAAGCAGCATGACAGCTGTACATACCTTACTTTGTGGTCCTCCTCTGCCTCTTTCTAGCTGTTCTTCTGCCCTTCTCTTATCATCCCTTGTTTTTTGTATCACACACTTACGGTTGCACACACACACATTCACACACACACGCAGGCAGGAAGGCAGGCGTGCTCACACAGAGCGGAGTGTTTGAATCTGACAGATTTCTCCCAGCTCAGTACTCTTCTCTCTCATTTCTCACACACACACACACGCACTCACACACAAACAGCCCTCCCCCTCCATCTTTCAAAATATGCCAGATAGCCTCTCCGCTCACGCCAGAGCAGCGTCTCTCCTCCCACTGCCGTACGCATCAGTGAGAAAGCCCCAACCCGAGCCCAAGCCACGCCCCCTCCCCTCTCCAGTCCCCCTCTCTCCTCTCCTCTCCTCTGGGCGGCTATAAATACCGCTGCTGCTATGAATACACCGTCTTTCTCCCTCAGCATCTCCCACTCTCCCTCCATCCATCCATCTATCCATCCTTCTTTTCATCCTTCCTTCCATCCCGCGCCTGCGCTACCGTTCCTCCATCTCTGCTTCAAAACCTGCTTTCTGACGATGACCTTGTGTTACCACAACAGCAAGATGCAAGTGATGGCGAAGGAGAAAGAAAGAGCAACGTTTCCCTGCAGACTTGGTTGTTTCTTTTTTTCGAGCCGCTCTTCTCTCCGGGTTTCCTGTCTGTTACAGCGGACGTGTTCCTTTTTTTTTCTTTAAACTCCTGACAGCTGCCCTTACAAATTTCACCATTTCTTCAAAATATAGTCCAATCTGTGCACATTATGAATAGTTGCCTATGTTACTGCTGCTTTACAGCAACATAAGAATAGGGAAGCAACATTTTAAAAAACAAGTGCCAATGTTCAGTGGATAGAATGTGAACTTTCAGTGCAATCAGCAGCATCCTGTCTTCTACTTCTAACCAGGGAATGAGGTTAACCAACATCTGGTTATGTGCACCGAGGGTGCACTTAGACAAAATCAAATCTTTGCCTGTAAGGTCGTATGGCATGGAATGGACATAATTAATCCTAGCGTTCATGGAGCTCTGGGGTGTAATAACTTCATACGTGAAACACGAAAGCAAGACAAAAGGCTTCTCTACCTGGCCTTTTGTCAGGAGACAAACATTTCTGCTGATGTGCCCCTCTGATGCTGGGAGATAGAGACAAGCCACAAGGCGCTCTGCACACAACCATATAGGGTAACAAGCCTCACATCTTCCGTTAGTCTTTCCGTTTGTCATATTTGTTGTTTTTTTTTGTTAATGTTACTGAATTGAAGACATTGGCATTTCACCCATATCATACTGCATTGCCAGGCACAAATGTTCCCCAACCTTTTCTCATGTTTTATCACATTTAAATCACAAGCTTCAGTTTATTTTACTAGAATTGTATGAGGTATGGCAACAAAGTGGCGTGCAGTGGCTTTGGGGCTCTAACAGCTTTTCACAAATGGCGACTGAACAAAAACTGTCCACTGACGATATCCACCATTGGTTTTAGCTGTCAAGTTGTCAATATAAGGCACTAAATCTTAAACGTATGTGTGATATGTGAAAGAAAAGAGATGCAATGCTTTGCTACAACTTAATTCTACGAGAGCTAGATAACAAGGTCAGTAAAAGGTTTTCACTTTGTTTGGAAAAATGCACACATTGTTAAAGTATTTTGTAGATACATATAAACTTTGTCCAAATTCTGTCCTAGGTTTGAACAAAATTATTCAAAGGAAAAACAACCAAGTAACCTGAAGGTCAGAAGTTTGATTAGACCTCAAAACTGAATAATAAATATTGGTATCAGTATTGGCGACATGAGCCCTGAATTTACTTGGTATCGGTTTGTTGGAGCACCGACTCTTCAAGACATTTTGTTTCACTAGATTTTTATTCATAGCAATGTGTAAAACCATATATTCCCTTCTGTCCATTTCAAAGTTATATTACTTTCTGTTCGCCTTTTCACATGAAATTCCAACAGGATCACTGAATACTGTGGTGGCAACATGACTAAATTTGGAAAGGTTCAAGGAGTAGCTGTACTGCTATAAGGCACTTCATAAAAAAAAAAACAACAATCCTGTTCAATGGAAGAAACGGATTGAAAACCAGATACCAAATTTGTCTCCATAAATGGTACAGGAAATGATGAAGTGCTGCTTAAAAGGTAACGCACTGAAAACCAATGATGAGTCATCGGTGTGTATGTGGGAGCAACTGCAAGTTTCAGGGTCAAACTGCTCAGATGAGAGTTTATGTCAGGATGTGCACGTGCTGACGTGCTTTATGGCTGCTCCCCTGTAAGCTTAAGGGCCGCCTGCAGGTTCTGTGCGGACTCCGCGTGCGTCCTCTGGGAGCCCCTGAGAGCTTCCTGGAGGTCCCCAGGGGACACCAGGTGGAGTCGGAGCAGAGAGTTCATCAGCTGGGAGCGAGCAACGCCAATGAAAGAGTGCGACAAAAAGCATGAGAGGCCTCCGCCGGATTTTGTGGTGTAAAGAGGGACTCGGACCATTCCCAGCACCTGGATGGAGAGAGAAGAGGAAGAGGTGATGCCGGAGCTGAGCGCATCACCTGATCCTGCAAGTCGCTCGCCTTTCATCGCTCATTACCTCCAGACCGTGATCGGCTGCGGTGGACGCAGCTGCTTTCTCTATCTCCCGAATCTGCTCCTCTTCCATCTTCTTCACGTAGAAGTGAAGGATGAGGCGGGAGGAAGAGGAATAGGTGCCTGAACGAGGAGGGCTAAAACAAGACTCCACGTGATCTTCCTTAGAAACTGGCACAGCCACGCCCAACTCCTCCAGTAATTCCCTGGTAAGCCCCTCCTCCAGGGTCTCCTCCAAGGGGTTAACGAAACTAATGTGTAGAAAAAACGAGGGTAGACCATTACTCAATCGAAATGATAATGCAATCCAGTACTTCCACGAGACTCCAGAGTACACAAGACAACTGAATGATTCTTAAACAGCAAAGCTTGTAAGGACTACAACCTACTTTACCTATTCACACTGTCACTTCATTGGTTAGAAAGTGTTTATAATAATACAAGGAATAGAAAGAAACAATGACAATATCGTAACTAAAAAAGCAAATAGAGTGCAGATTATTAAGGGAAAGTAATCAGACATAAAAACAATCTGAAACCAGGTTATTGCAGCTTTACACTAATTCCTCAATCAGAAGACTTCTGCTGTGTCTTTGTTGATGCAAAGCAATAGTGCTGGTAACTGCAACCCCCCTAATTTTCACTAACTAATATAGTCTTGCATTAGCACTAATAACACTTTAAATTTTGACATAAAACATGCGTGTAAACAAAGAACACTTTTGGTTCAAGTGTAGAGCTCGGGTCTACCCCAGAAAATCTGAGCTCACCAAGAAGCATGAGTCACAACAAAACCTTTTGTTTATAGAGGTAAAAGAAAATGATGTGCAAAAAGGCTGCATACATGGCTGGATATCTGGAAAAACAAATAACTTTTTATGCATTTTGACCTTTCATTTGTACAAAAACTGTTTATTACTAAAAGCAATTATTTCTAAAACCTCAGACCTCAGTGTGTTTTAGGCGAGACCTTAAATCCACAGGTGAGCCTCCAATTACCTCACGTTAACCTAACCGGTTTGTGGAAGGGAACCCAAAAGGTTTGACCCAAGTCATACAGTTTAAAAGACCATTGTCCCTCATACTGAACAAATTTATATAAACTTCTGAATTCCAAGAAAGTTGCAAAAAAAATCTCTAAAAATATTCTGACATTTAGCAAATAGGAATAATTTTGATCATTCCAACTGGCCTAAAACAAGAGAAGTTTAGTTATTATTTACAAACATCTAATCATTTCTGTTTATTTTCATATACCTCTATAAATAATGTTGGGTTATATAAATCTTCCTAAAACTTCATTAGTGTTCACTAAAAGTTCATTAGTGAAGTAAATTTCAGCAAAAAGAAACTTCAAAGTGCTTTACATGATTAAAAAAACCAAAAAAACCTGACATTAAAGTGAGAAAATAGGGAAATTATTTCTTGGTTTGTTACATAAGGTCAAGATGTTGGTGAATGACGCACCAGCAACTCTGTCACTCCTGTAATTCACAGACAAAAGGACACAAGTGATTCACATTTAGCCGAATACTAATCGGTTTGATGAACAGAGTGTTAAAAAGGCTATAATAAGAGCCTTCCTATACAAAGGGACTCCTCATGCATGTCTGATCTTTCATAGTTCGTCTTTTGCTGCTTCAGTATTCTAGAGACAATGTGTGAAAGTTATTGCTGTGCTGTGAAAGATTGATATCTTTATTTTGTGGTGGCTGCTCATAAAGATGGATTAGAATAAGCTAACTTGTTCACATTATATATAGAAATCTAAAACTTACATTTATTTTCCCATCTTCCTTACTACTTTGTCTTTATACATTATAGAACTTTGACTGGGCCACTCTATTGTATGAGTATTAGGGGTGGGAATAGTAAATGGCTTTGTACTTGTATAGGACTTTATCAAGTCCAGAGGACCCTAAAGTGCTTCATACAACATTCATTCACTCACACATTCACACGCTGATGGTGACAAGCTACTGGATAGTAGCCACAGCTGCCCTGGGCCAGACTGGCAGCTGCCACGCAGCGCTGCCCTCCTGGGCCCCCCCAGCAGGCAAGGTGGCTGAAATGTCTTGCCCACGGACTTCGTCCCGACAGATTGGTGGGCGAAGTCCTCCCACCATACACAAACTGTTAAAACTTTGAGCTTCAGATTGGTGTTACAAAGTAAAATCTGCAAAAACCAGCCACCGGACAGACAGCTCTTCCCCCCAGGCTGCCTCTTAATTGAACACAATCAACCACTTACAGCCTGAGTAGTCAGCTACTCTACAGTAAAGCAAAATAAACATATCTGCACTATCACAACTGCCTTTCTTTTTTCCTTTCTTTATTTTAAAAAATGGCTACACAAACACATACACATGCTGTTCCTTTTGCCCTTTATTTTATCTCTTCTAAAGTTGACATATTTATACTTAATGTCTATTTGCTCTGAGTGCTTGAAACCAAAGTCAAACTCCTCATTTGTGAAAATAATCATGGCCATGAAGCTGATTCTGATTCTTCTGGTCATTTTTCAGTCTACAAATTCTCCCAGGTGAGCTGTGGATATCTGCAGCTCCTCTAAAGTCGTTCCGGTTTAACACGACAGTTTGAGAGGCTGATTTATACTCAGGTTAAATTAAGCAATTTATAAACAACCATAGATGAAACTCACCCACCAGGGAAGCCCAGCAGTCCATCAAAGCGCATCTGCATCTGTTGAAGGTGACA